CAATTGCTATATGAGGTGGCTTTGATTGACTTGATTTATGAGAAGGGAGAAGGAGTGTTTGTTGAAATGACTGTCAAAATAAAATATACTGTGTATCAATAGGGAAAAAATAAACCAAGCCTAATTTGCATGGGGGTTTCTCAGCAGTTTAGCAGAAACATTCCTTTAATTATGAGAGGGCAGCAATCAGTAAAGATGAGAGTATAGGTCTGGAAAACACCCAAAGAGGGGACTCTTCTTTTTTGTGTGTCCTAGATTACTATGGCCATGGTCTAGCAAAGCCTCTAGGCCCCTTCCTAGAATAATGTTTTTCAATGCATAAAATAAATGGATAGGATTGCCAAGGAAACCAATTTTACTGAAATACAGATAACAAAATGTTTTTTAAAAAGTTTGCAGACCTCAGGGTCTTGATTGAGATATTAAAACTAAGTTCTTCACTGGGTCAGATCAATGATGCAAGTAGCCCAGTGCTTCTGCCTCTGAAATGCCAACAGCGCACTGTCTAATGAGTTAATTTACCTGGAAAGTAGTTGGTCGCAGTGGATAGAGCACTAGCCCTGGAGTCAGAAAGACCTGGGGTTAAAATCAAGCCTGAAACACTTACTAGCTGTGTGACCCTGGGCAAGGCACTTAACCCTATTTGCCTTAGTTTCCTCATCTGTAAAATGAGCTGGAGAAGGAAATGACAAACCACTCCAGTATCTTTGCCAAGCAAACCCCAAATGGGATCACAAAGAGTTGGACGTAGATGAAAAACAACAAAAATTGTTTTATAAGCCGGTGGCATTTCTTTGACTAAGCTACAAACACCACAAGACCAACAACAGTATATCTCATTACTTTTAAGAATTCCATATAGTAGACACTTAATGCTTGCTGGGTTGTTGGAATGGATTAATAAAGATTACAAGCTATCCCCACACCAAGTTACTGCCAATAGTTATTTGTTTCAAAACCCACAAAGCCCCAAACAGTAGTAGCAGGCTCAGTTTCTTATTTAACACTTACTTAATCTTGATTCCTTGTCCTCTCACTTGTCATGCCATAGCAGATCCCAATTAAGCCCATCCTTCTTGTTCTACTGAATTCCACTGGAGGAAGTCAAACTGCCATGTTGCTTGGGTCCATAACAGACTCAAGTTATTTAAACTCAACTGGGTCCTCCCTATTATATGGCAGTCCTTTCATACTTCCTCCAGTGGTTCTTCTAAACTTTCTCTTCTCTCCTCACAAGCTCCTTAGACCACTCTCGTCCCCCCCAACCCCACCCCTTTCTCTGCAGAGGGCTTCTGCACTTAGAAAATCAAGGCTGTCGTGAGCATCCTCTTCTGTTCTACTTCAAACCCCAAAGCCCCTGTCCATTGCCCCAGAATTCTCCTCTACTACTCTAGTTTCTCAGGGAAAAAGTGGCTTTCTTTCCTGGTGAGGTCAAAGCCCCTATTCATGCCCATGATCCCATCCCATCCAGGATAATGACCACTTAATCTCATGCACACATCTCCTTCATCCTTAAAAAACTTGTACTTACCAAATCCGGCCTCAGACACATAACACTCACTAGCTGTGTGACTCTGGGCAAGTCACTGAAGCCCATTGCCTAGCAAAAAAAAAGAAAAAAGAACAAAGAAAAACTTGCACTTGATCCCTGTCACCCTACATTTCTTTTCCCCTTTCACAGCCAAACTCCTAGGAAAAGTCCAATGCTTCCATTTCCTCACTTCTCAACCCTTTGCAGTCTGGTATGGGACCCTAATCCTCAAATAAACTTACTCTGTCTGAGCTTAAAGTAATATGGATCTTAACTGATAAATCCCCCATGGCCATTTCTTTGTCTTCCTGCTATGTGACCTGCCACTTGGTTGAAAACACCTCCAGGCACTTGTATCATTCTTGACTCTTTCCTTTCCCTCGACACCCCCTAGAATCAATTTGTTGCTAAAGCTTGGCAATTCTGCCTCCACGATATCTCCAGCATCTTTTCTCTTCTCTCTACACATGTAACCGCTATTCTAGTTGAGTCCTTCACCATCTCTCACCTGGATTATTACAGTAACCTCCTTTTTGGTCTCTCTGCTTTCCAGTATCTTCCCTTTTGCCATCTGTGCTCCATATACATCTACCAAAATATACTTCCTAGTAACAGATCTGAACACATTCTTCTGCTCAAAAATTTTCATGAACTCTGGTGCCTCCAGCATAAAAGACAAATGCCGCAGCCTGGCTCCAACTTACCTTTCCAGACTTATTTCACATTATTCCCTTCCTCCCCTTCATGTAGTGTACGTCCCCACCAACTCCACTGATTCTCAAATTCCACAGGCTACCTCCAGGCTCTATGTTATTGAACGGACTGTTTTGTGTCTGGAATTCACTTCCTCAACTCACTTCCTAGAATTTCCAGGTTCCACCTTCTATGAGAAACCTTTTCTGATCCACCAGTCAGTTCTCTCCACCTTCAAATTCCCTTGCATTTACTTATCTTTGTATGTGTTGTATCTCCCCAGGAGCACATAAGCTCTTTAAAAGGGAGAGATGAGGGGGAGTGATAGACTAACTTATATTTGTGCTTGTATTCTGAGCCCCTAGAACAATGCCTTGTACACAGTAGGTAGTTGATACATATTAATGTAAATTCACTTGGTGCATTCTACTTAAGATAACATACTGGTGATATGTGTGTGTGTGTGTGTGTGTGTGTGTGTGTGTGTGTATGTGTGTATACACACATTTTTGCTGAAACTAATATCTCTTAAAATTAAATTTTACTTAAGGATCTCCAAATGTCACAAGTTCAGAAAATTTCCATTTATCATAGGTAGATTGGCAGTATTGACAGAGGCCAGAAAGAAAGTAGTACTATCAACTCCTCATCTGTAAAATGATGATGGATTAGAAACCAGGGTGGGGAACACCCCACATGTGGCCTCAAGGTCGAAGGTTCCCCACCCCTGGATTAGATAATCTCTAAGGTCACTTCCAACACAAAATCTATGATGGAATGAACTATTTTGTTTCCATCTTCTTTATCATCATCTTCATCATCATCATCAAATAGCTGTCACTTATAGAGGACTTAAATTACAAAGTGCCTTGTGTATCTTTTTTTTCATTTGTTCCTCCCAAGAAGCCTGTGGTATCGTTGGGAATAAGAGGGAGGTAGATTTAGACTTGGCAGCTGGGTCGCACAATCAATAGAGTGCCAGGCCTGAATTCAGGAAGACTCATCTACCTGAGTTCAAATTTGACCTCAGACACTTACTAAATGTGTGACCCTGGGCAAGTCACTTAACCATTTGCCTCAGTTCCTCATCTGGAAAATGAGCTGGAGAAGGAAATGGCAAACCACTCCAGTATCTTTGTCAAGAAAACCTTAATGGGGTCATGAAGAGTCTGTCATAACTGAACAACAAAAGATTCATACTTGAACACCCTATTCAAAGAGCTGCTTAATGGATTTATGTCAGTCTAGAAGGAAGCCTGAGGAGTCTATGCCCTATCTTCTACAACATTTTCATAGGCATTGATGAAGGGAAAGAAATGATCAGATCTAGTGGCGATAGTTAATAGGTTAAATGAGAGAATTAAGACTTTAGAAGTTAGCAAGTTGGAGACAACTAGCCAAAACTCACAAGATGAAATTTCAGTAGGATGGGTAAATACGTTTAAGTTTCAAAAACAAATTCTCCAAGTAGAGAAAGAGCATATTTAGCTTAAGAATAGTTCATATTAAAAAGCTTTGAGGGTTGCAGTTGAATAAAAGCTTTCTAAGAGACAACAGTGAGATGTAGCTACTAAAAAAGCTAAGACCATATGCGGAGTAGTAAATTTAGTTCTGTGCATTCACTTTTAAAGAGAGATACTGACAAGTTCATCCAGAGATGATCCGATGAATTGTTGAAGAGACAGTATAATAATTGTTTTTTAAGTATTTGAAACACTTATAATATGGAAGAGGGATTAAATTTATTTTGTGTCCCTCCAGTTAGACCAATGAGTAGAAGGACAGGAGGGAAAATTTCAGTTTAATGTAAAAAAATTTACTAGTAGCTGTCCAAAAGAAAAGAGATAGGTAGCCAAAAAGAAGTGAGCTGCCCATCATGGGAGGTGTTCAAACGAAAACTGAGTGGCTGGTCACTTGTCAGTAATGTTATAGGAAAGGATTCCTGTATAGTTTGACAGTTTGGATAAATAATTTTTGTATCAGGGAAGATCAGAAAAATGAAACGTTTGTTTTTTTAAATTGTTTCATAAATTTTCCCCAAGACTTGTTGTTACTTAATCTTCCATTTTCTCCTGATGAAAGCTTATTGTAGAGCACCTTAAAGTTAACCCAAAAGAAAGAATAAAGAAACAAGTAAATGATATTCTGGTTTATATTCCATTATCTTAAAAGTCGATTTTTCATGCCTTGGTACTACTAAATTGAAACATGCACCATGGCAAGCAATCTATGCATCAGTTTCTAACAAATGTGACATATTGAAAGAGCGAATGCAATGGAAACAACTCCCAAACTTTCACTGTATGTGTGATGCATAGGATGCGGGCATTTCCCAGGACCACCCCCAAAGGCTGATGAATCAGCTAGATCGGCCTCATTTTCCTTCACATCTGCATGGCAACTGATTGCTGGATCTGTCTGACCACCGTCCCCACCGAACAAACTGCCAACAGCCTCTGACCGTATCCCACCTAACGCATTCAATGCAATCCTCAACAGCTCTGCCACACGAATAAAATGTTTTAGTACCTAAAGCTTTGTAGATGTAAGATGCCTCCTTACAGGAAAAGGAAGGGGCATCTGCAGAGTACTGTGTAACCACCCTTTAGTGCCAGTGTCTGGGGGGCTCGGAACCACCCGGGGCCCGTGCACCCGGCCCTCCGCACCACCTGCCTGGCTCCCTGCCCCGGACAGATCAGCGCCGCCAAGTTGGTGAAGACGGACGGAGGACACGGACACACAGACACGCGCGCGCGCGCTCCAGATGTGCACTTACTCGCCCGCGGCCCGGACAGCTGCTGCAGGGGCGTGTGGGGGGGCTTGGGCCGGGCCCCGGGGAACCCCGTCTGCGGCGCGCTGTGTTCATAGCGCTGGGTCGGGCTGGGCCGGGCCGGGCCCCTGGGCCGAGCTCCCGATCCCAGCCAGGGCCAAGGGTCTGTCGGCGTCACGGGCGGAGAGGAGGGAGGGGGCGCCCGGCTGGGCAGGTGGGCAGGGAGCGAGCGCAGCAGCTGCAGCCGATGGAGCCGCCGCCACCCGTGCTGCCGGCGCTGCCCCAGGCTCAGACGAACGGCTGCGTCTGGAGGACGGGGCGTCCTTCTGCCCGCACGGGCGCCGCCCCCGGCCCGGCCCGCTGTCCTCCCAGCTCTCGCCCGGCGCAGGCGGCAGCGGCCCCGCAGCGCAGGTGGCTCCTGCTCCGTGCGCTCCGGGAGCGCCCGGGCCAGCCAAGGCTCTGCAGCGCCCCCTGCTGGGCCGCGACGGGGGCCCACGGTCCTAGGCTGCGGAGCCTGCAGCGAGCCCGGGGCTCTGGGAGCGCTGCCGGCGCTGCCGCCTCTGCCCCGGCTCGCCGCCCCGGCCTGGGCCTCGTCCGCCTGGCTGCAGAGGAAGCTGACCGCAGAATTCGGGAACACTTCCCATCCCATCCACCTGGCATCCCACACCCTCGGCCCACCCACACCCACTGCAACAGGTGAGTCCAACCCCTCCTCCCTCGTGACTTTAGAAGACAGTTCTGGTGGCATAATGAATAAAGCAAGGAGACCGGGAAAGCCCGAGTTCGAATCCTGCCTCAGACACTTACTTACTGGCTGTGTGATCCTGACAAATCACTTAACTCTCTCAGCCTGTTTCCTCTTCTGTAAAAGAGGGCTAATAATAGCGCCTCCTTCAATGGGTGGTGTTAGATCAGATGCGAGAACACGTGAAACCCTTTATAAACATGAAAGTACTATATAAACGCTAGTTATTGTTATCATTGCCAAGCCTGTCCTGGCTGTAAACTCCGTTGCAGAGGGTGACCTTCTCAGGAGGAAGACGAGCAGGCACAACAGAGAACTAACCTTGAGGATTTGGAGTGTTCGCTACTATTCATTTAGATTCAATGCAACACACATTTGTTAAACACCTACTGCGTGCAAGGTGTAAAGACAGAACATGGTACAGGGGACAAAGAACTTGATTTGGAGTCAGGGGGCCCGGGACACTTACTTTTCTGGGACCAAGTTTCTGAATGTATGAAATGGGGTAATCCCTAAGGCCTCTTTGAGCTCTCAATTTATAAACTTTTGATATAAAAATGAAAAAAAAAACCCTACCACTCTCAAGAAATTTATCATCTAATGGAATGCAGAAGAGAGGGACTCACATGACTAATAAAAAGGAGAATGGGCCAAAACTCCAGATAAAGTACTCTGACAAATCTGAGGAGGGAGAGATCACCTCCTTTTCGAGAAGAATGGGGAAGCGGGGGCAGAAGAGTCATTTGGGAAGAGTTGGCCTTGGCCTAGAGAAAGACAACAGACAAGCTAATGGAGGGGGCATTCTTAACAGAGACACCTAAGCAAAGGTGCCTGCCAGAGGGTCTGACAAGAACTCGGTAGAGAATGGTTCAGTTTGGGACAATGAATAAAGGCAGAAAGGTAGAATCAGAGAGAGCTGGAAGGGACCTTGGAAGGTCATGACCCCCCCCACTCCTTCATGGTAACAGAGGATGAAACAGGCTCAAAGTCATTTGCCCAATGTCACACACTCCAAGCTTTGGTACCACAGTGATGCAAATCTGTTTCCCTTGACTCAAATCCAGCGTTCATCCCATGGTATGACATTATGGCAGGTTGGAACTAGACTGTCAGGTGTTTCAAATGTCAAGACTGGAATGTAGTGAAAAGTATTTAAGTCCTTCCTATGTGCCTGGCACTGTGCTAAGGACGTTTAAACTTTATTGGATAGGAAGTGTTAAATTATTGAAGGTTTGTGAATAGAAGAAGCTCTGATCAGAGCAATCTATTAGGAGGATTACTTGGATATCAGTGTGAAAGATGGATTGGAAAGATATTAGAGGCAGGCTGCTGGAGTGGCTGGGGTGGAAGCAGAGGTGACTTCGAAACATATCGCAGATGGATAGAATTTGGTAATTCTTTGGCAGGGGTGTGAGGGGAAGGTGTTAAGGATGAAGTAGGGGTCAAAGATGATTCTAAGCCTGGATGACTGGGGTGTATAGTGGTAGTGCAATATACTAAGTCCTACACAGGAAGACAAGGCAGAAAAGATAAGGATTTCATGCCATGGCAAAGAAATTGCAGACACTAGAAAAAAACAAACAAACAAACTGGTTTTCCCAGAACCCTGGATGGATTTTATATTAATGATAAACATTATTGTATTTTCACCATGGCAAACAAGGACAAATTCCCCCCCACACACACACACTAATCCCCACACAACAAAAGGTCAGAAATCTTAAATCTACCTGGTTTCAGGGCCAGCTTAAGTATCTCTCCTCTGTATATCACCAGGTTGTAGTGCTGCTTGCTATTCTAACTGGAATAGTAGTTTGGAATGGGACAACACAGAATAGGACAGAGATGGATAAGCAGAGGAGAGTACTTTGGTTCCATTTAGCGGGTTGGGGTCCAGGCCAGGACAGCCCCAGTTTGAACTCAGGCAGTCCGTGATACCAAGGAGCACAATCAGCTAAGGTCAACCCTAGAGGAAATCTGTGGTTCCAGAATTGATCTGGATGACCTATAGCCAAGCCAGGGAGGGTTTTAGGGCTACTGTAACTGAACCATTCTATTGCTCTAAGAGGCAGCATGGCATAGTATCAGGAAGATCCAAGTTTGAATCCTGCCACAAACAGTAGCTTTGTGAGGCAAGTCAATTAATACCTCTGTCTCAAATTTCATCCTTTGTAAAACTGAGATGTGGACGGCTAGGTGGTGAAGTGGACAGAGCGCCAGGCCTGGAGTCAGGAAGACCTAAGTTCAAATCTGGCCTTAGACACTTACTAGCGGTGAGAGTTTGGGCAAGTCATTTAACCCTCTATACCTCAGTTTCCTCATCTGTAAAATGAACTGAGGGAAATGGCAAACCACTCCAGTATTTCTGCCAAGAAAACCCCAAATGGAGTCACCAAGAGTCAGACACAACTGAACAACACCACAAACTAAAATAATAGAACCTGCCTCCCTTTGAAACCTTTAAGTGCTATATATGCTATCTAGTTCTCAATTCTCCCCCGCCACCCCCAATGTTTTCTTTCTCTCTCCTGCCCTCCCTGTCCACTTTTCCTCTCATATGCCAGAGTTCTAGAGCACCAAGGAGAGATTACACCAGTATAAGTCAACCAACAAGAATTTATTAGTCACCCACTTTGTGTCTGGCACTGTGCCAGGTGCTAGAGATACAAAGACAAAAAGGAACTAGCCCCAGTTCCCAGGGAGTCAGTCCAGCAGGAACACCACCTAATTTAGGGTCATATTAGAAGAGGATCTGTCTTTTTTCTCCTTTCTGCCCAGCACCAATCCTTCATGTCTAATAGCCATGGGAATGCATTATTTTTTTTTAGCTACACTTCCTTCCAGATGTGTGTAACAGAAGTCGGCAGACAAGTCATTTGGCTAAAAACCTCAAACTTTTGTCCTACTCCAGTGATGCAACAAGGAAGGGGTTCTGTGGCTGAGGATCTGACCACATGATTTATCTCAGCTCTCACTGCAAGTAAATAAAACATATATGCTCTCATCTTCAGGGTTTAAATGCTTGAGAAAATTAATTTATCTTACCCCTCTCTTGTTAAAAAAGACTGAAACATGTTTTACATTTGAGATATTTGACATTTTCATTCTCATTTTAAAAAAAAATCAAAGGTCAACAGAACTAATGCCCATCCCCCTCATCCTAAGAATTGTTTGCAATGATCAGAAAGCCATTACAGAAATTTGGCCTGACTCTCATTCTTCACAGTCAGGTGAAAAAGAAGAGAAAGAGCCCCTACATCTTGAAGCAGAAGCCTCTTCTGCTCCTCTCACACCAGAGAGCTAACAAGCTCACTATGATGTAGCATGCATTTCCCTTCAAAGTGCCAACTTAGTGTGGTGGGAGGAGTAGGGGAAGGATGGTTATAATTGGGAAGACCTGGGTTGAAGACCCAGGTTCCCATCCTAATGTTTTCCAGCTGTGTGACACAACCTTTCTGAGTTTCAGTTTCCTCATCTGTAAAATGAATATACTATTATGTACACTACTTACCTCACTAGGACTGTTCTGAGAAAGTCAATGTAACTTTAACAAGGGTGAATGGCTAAAGCCCCAAAAATATTCTTTAAAATGTTCAGTGCTCTATAATGGATAGATTAGTAGCCAGAGAATTATACAATTGTATAACTTTAGAGTTGGAAGGAACCTTAGCAATTACCTACCCCAACCACCCTATTTTACAGATGAGAAAGCTGAGGTTAGTTATAAGAATAAACAACAGAAAAGGATAAAAACAGGCTTCACAATGTTCAGTCTGGTGTTGGATTTACCCTGTTCATGACAAAAGGGTGTACTTCAATGCCCCTTTCAGGTTTTGGCAGGTCATATCTGCACATGAAAGGGCAAGAATATGGTTAGGCAGGTACAAGAAATTATGGTCTTTTCCCTGCCCAATCATTCACGCTGGAGAACAGAATAGGCTTAAGGTTAGAGAACTAGGGAAACCAGAACTCTAGAATGGTCAAGGAATTACTGGGTAATTAGCCCTTAAGTCTTTTATAGCTAAGGGCAGCAAGGTGGCACAGTGGACAGAACACTGGGCCTGGAGTCAGGAAGGCTCATCTTCCTGAGGTCAGACACTTACTAGCTGTATGACCCTGGGCAAGTCACTTATCCTTGTTTACCTCAGTTTCCTTATCTGTAAAATGAGCTGGAGAAGGTTACCAAAAGAACCCCAAATGGGGTCCCGAAAAGTTGGAAGCAACTGAAAGAGCTGAACGACAAAAAAAGCTCCTCCTCCTTTTCCTCCTTCTCCTTTGTTTAGAAAGAATATGGGGAAGGTGAAGGAATAGGTCAAAGGGGGATAT